GTGTGTGTGTGTGTGTGTGTGTGTGTGCTGGGCTATGAGTGCTTGGGAGGAACCTCTTAAGAACAACTATTGTCTTACATATTATGATATGTTTCAAGGTCTAACAGATACCTAATTGTATTAGTTAGTAATAGTTAGTTGATTACACTAGCTGATTAGGTTATGCATGAACAATCTAAGCACGGTGCTAACGTATTATGTAACTATAGCTGAACTGCCGAATGTCTYGTTAACTGACGCCGACCAAGCACAATATATATAACGCATATGGAATATGGATCCATGAGTCCAGGATCTCTTCCATCCGCCTATTCTATGATTCTCGTACGAACCCAGTATTTGGACCACACCCAGCTTGATCTCATGTTGCATTAATCCGTTCAATATCTGGAAGGAACCCTCTTCCTTGCTGTTTTCCTGTTTTCGACCCAATCTCTAATACACGTTAACAAGACAATAGGCCATTAGGGTTAGAGTTCCGAGACAGGAGTTGTTACCCACACTGTCCTTTCGAATTCGGCCCAACACACGAAAAGCCGACTAGTCATGATAAAACAAAATCATAGGTCTAATTTGGTATGAGCTGAAGGACTTCCTTAGGCCGTCCAAAGCCTTTATCTTGTACTAGACTGAACTATGGAGGCTCAGCACCATCACGTGATGGCAGCCATGACAGGAGGCACATCAACAGTGTCGGTCTCGCCTGGGAAAATGAAAGATGATGAAATGATGACACCATGATTCCTTGAGAAATCAATTCTGGACATGTCCATTTTGTTTATTATTGGCTCTTGTTAATTTCTTGTTTCAATCAACACCATTACTGTAGCAAATCTTAAAATATTTGCCCCCTGGACGACTCATAATTCATGTGATCCAAGATGGCCGCCGTATCGTTGACGTAGTCCATTGTTCCTGCCTCCTGTCATGGCTGTCATAACGTAATGGTGCAGAGGCTAAAAGCTTTAAAAAAGGTTTTGAACTTTTGGTTCTGCTTTTACCGGGTTAAATGATGCATAAACGTAATCAATTTCGATTTATTTCTAAAACTGTAACATATATTATTGAAATAAAATGGTGCACTCATTATGAGAGAAGCTTTTTGGAAGGATTGTCAGTGTACCACATTTCTCTTGTACTAATGACTTTATGCCCCATGGCCACAGGAAGCCCAACCTTTGTATCTATGTGAAAAGCACTGTATGTGAGCTTCATGGTATATCTTCTCCTTATATAAAAAACTGCGAATGTAAAGCCCTGAAGAACTTATCTTGAATGTTGTTTGCACCGGTTTTTTCGTGCTGGTAGCGGTTTCAGTTAAATTTAACCAGTTTTAAGCCCTTTCTTATGTCAATATAAATTATTATACAGACACTGAGCCCGCTGGGCACACTATTGAAATCTCTGTTGTTTTGCGACCGTTCTCTATATGTCTAATGAGTTTATGTTATAGTTGCCAAGGATTACACTGACACACCCCTATACATACACCGTTCTCATATTGGCTGACAGGTGCACCAAGAGCGGRTCGRGGGGGRGGGGGGGGCAAAGGGGGGCTGAAGCCCCCCTTCGGCAGAAAAAAACGATGCTTTTTATATTGTTTTCCGTTGTGTTGACGGAAGAAACTCAATTAGCGCCCCCCCCCTAAACTCAATTAGCCCCCCTCCCTAAAATTTTGGCTGGATCCGCCCTTGTGCACGAACACAGTCATTAGTTCATTTCACAATAAAAGTTGTAAAAGCACATAAAATGTGTTTATAGAAGAAAAGTATAGAAATTGATCTCTTGTTTTGACCTGAATTCGCCTTTATTTTGAACGAGCAGCCTTGCTCAGCCTTGCAAAATGACTGGGTTTACCCGTCGTTTTCGTGCGCTCGTCAGCAATTATAAGAACCATGCATAAACGTTTGCAAGTTAATAGAAGACAAAAACAAGCTGTTGGAAAGGTTGAGCCTGCATCATTATAGTTAGTGATCCTGAGATAGAGCATGCGCTCGCTGACGATCTGGTCGCAAAATTCTTTCTTCCGGTCAGTAGGGTTTCCCAGATAATGGCCAGGATTGGTTTCGGACCTTTGCTACTGTGCATCCATTTTGCGCATCTTATTTTGGAAAACTCATATAGGTATTTTCGAAGTTTTGTCAAAATATTGTAAACTAAATCGACCATGACTGTACCAAAAATATTTTGAATTTTTTACGATCATGGTCAAATTTGTTGTCTTAATTTTGATCTCGACACACATTCATTCTAATTCTTAATTAAAATTACGAGATTAAGATTACCAATACTCTGAAGTCTTCGAATTAAGCATTATTTAATTATAAAGAAAAAGGTAACAAGCCTATATCGCTTCAAAAGCGATGATGTTTCGGCCCGTTAGGTATTTGTGTGGCATTACTGAAAAGAATTTTGGTCTTGCTGTGGTAATGATTGGG